TTTTCATTTGTCTCCCAGGCTGGGTGCTTGTGGTCGGGTTCCCGGCCCGCTTGTCTCCCACTTGCTTTCATTTGTCTCCCGGTTCTTTTCATTTATCTCCCAGAAATGCTTCATTTGTCTCCCAGGTCCGTCACTGCTGGTGCCATGTAGCATTTCTATTCATTTGTCTTTGTCACTGCTAATTTCAGCCCTTTTCCGCTGGCCACGCAGCATTTCTATTCATTTGTCCCCCAGGCTTGTCACTGGTGGTGTCCGCCCTTTTCCGCTGTTTCTATTCATTTGTCTCCCAGGTCTGTCACTGTTGGTGTCCGCCCTTTGCCGTTGGCCATGTAGCATTTCTATTCATTTGTCTCCCAGGTCTGTCACTGCCAGTGTTTTGTCTCCCAGGTCTGTCACTGCTGGTGTCCGCCCTTTTCGTCGGCCACGCAGCATCATTAGTCTCCCAGGTCTGTCACTGTTGGTATCCGCCCTTTTCCGCTGGGCATGCAGCATTTCTATTAATTTGTTTCCCGGGTCTGTCACTGGTGCTGCCGCCCTTTTCCGCTGGCCATGTAGCATTTCTATTCATTTGTCTCCCGTGTGATTTCTTTCTTTTGTCTTTCAGGTTTGGTGCCTGCACTGCTGTTTTCTGCCCTGTCCGCTGGAACAGGTTCGCCTGTGAAAGGTTCTTGCTCCTTTGCAAGGGGTGCGTGACTGTCTCCGGGATTGCATTCCTGCCACACTGTGTAACTCTCTCAGCTTTGTTTTCCTTTTCGGGCAACCGTTGGATGAATGACCGGATTGGATTTCGGCGGCGTGGCAGCGATCTCTCTATTCAGTTGGGGCGGAGGGCACATGTCAGGCACCAAAAATCAATTTCATGTCACATCCTTCGCTCCTCATGCTTTTGTTTCTTGTCCTCACGTGGTCAGCTCCCCGCTGACTGAGCAGCATGACCAGCATCATGTTCGCGCTTGAAGAATAATTCCCCAAAAGGTTTACTGTTAGGGCTTCTCACTTCTTTCTTAAGATATGTCCCCCCGCTCTGTACTGCTGTGTCCGTCTCTGCCTTGCAATCCTTTACATTTATCTCCCAGCTCTGGACGTCGCAAGCTCTAGTTTCGATTTTGAAAAACACAAACTGTTTGGGGTCTACGGTGGTGTAATTTTATATCTACATGATTGTCGACCCCGTATGGGGTCGCTTGGAGGTTCGGTCGGAGATCAAGAAGAGCACAGTGCCCTGCTCAGAAGCTCATATTTCCAGACGATCTTTTACACTTGTCCCAGTTATGGTTAAGACTGCAGATGTTTGCCAGGCTGAGCTGAGAGCTGAGCACAATGTCACTCCGGGCTTGGCAGTGATTTTGGTCGGGTCAAGGAAGGACTCCCAGTCTTACGCTGCACGCTTAGAATCTTGCTTGAGAAACTGGAGTGACGACTATGATGTCAAAAGCGGTTGAGTGTTGTTGTGCAAACATATTTCTTTCTCGTGCTTCCTTTGTCCATTCTTCTTTGGACATTTGGAATCCTTTAGACATTTCTTTTATCCTTTTCTGGCTCAGTTTTTGTCAACGTAAGGACGCTTTTGGCTCATCCTGCCAAAACTTCTACTGCCTCAACCTGCCCAAAGAACAAAAGTGTACCACACTAGCTTCTACACAGCTATCTCGGCAAGAGACCCCAAAAAACAGTGTTAATAAATAGAGAATAATGAAAAGCAAACTTCAATATATACTCATATGAGAGCATAATACGAGAGACGAGAGCACACATATGTGAGCAAACACATGAGAGCACACATATGAGAGAGAGAGAGCACACACACAACAGAGCACACATGCGAGAGCACAGGGAGAGCACAAGTATGTGAGCAACCGCATGAGAGCACACATGTGCGAGAGGGCACACATATGACAGCAAGCGTATGAGAGCACACATGTGTGAACAAACCCTCGAGAGCACACATCTGAGATCACAGGCATGAGAAAGTGCACACATGAGAGCTCACATAACAGAGTACACTTGTGAGAGCACTGGTGAGGGCCCACACGTGAGGGCACAGAAAACAGGAGCAAACACATGACAGCACGCAAATTGAGAGCGCAGGTATGAGAGAGCACCCCGCACTTTGAGATGCATATTAGATTGCTGTGCTTGCCACAAAATCTGCACAGTGAGGTTCACACAGCGCTGCACCGTGCCTACTACGAAATCTACCTTTCGATGTTTACAATGTGCTGCGCCTGCCATGAAACTGCAGAGCCAGGATCGCAGAGTGTTGCGCTTGCCGCGAAATCTGCACTTGAAGGTTGACAAAGTGCTGCGCCTGCCACCACGAAATCTGTGCGTTGATGTTCACAAAGTGCCGCGTTTCCTATGAAACATGCCAATCGAGATTGACATTTACGCAGTCCGTAACAAAAGCGCTGCCAAGACAAGTTACAGATGCCAAAACAAAGCTTCCTCGCAAGATGCTCCTAAGTTTTGAAAACAAGCCACAAGTCCGAAGTGCAAGATGGACGGCACCTGCCGCGAAATCAGAGCAAGTCCAAAGGGCTGCCGCGAAATCTGCGCATCGAGCGCTTCCGATCTCCTGCTTTTGGCACGAAGAAAGTTATTTTAGGCCACCAAAGCATGAGGGGCGCCCTTGCGCTTGCCATGGAAAGTCTCCCAAAATGAGCACGCTGCCACAACGAGAGCGCCGTCGAGGGGAGCTCCGCTCGCGCCTACCAGTGCGCAGTGGAGCTGGCCACAGACCGATATGACGAGTCTCAAGTGTGGTCCTATATTCAATTTCTTTTGAGTAGTCAAGCAGCCGCCACCAAGGCGCAATCGTTCGTTCAAGCGCTAAGATTTGCACATTACATGTTAAGTGTGACAGGAGCTCTTTCGTGTGTTGAGAGTCGTCGGATTGTTGGTATGGCTGAGCTTCAATTAGCTAATAAAGCAATCACGTGGCAAGCCAGACCGCTTTCCGTTTGTGAAGTGAAGTTACTGCATGCTGCGTCATGCGACCTCAATAGGCCCCTTGCCGACAGTGTAGCATCTTCACACCTTCTCCTGATGTTGTACGGCCGGTGCAGATCTAGCGATCTTGCGAATGTCCATGAGGTCTTGCATGACATGGCAGATGAGGCAGGTTTCGTCCAGGTCACCATGAAATTCCATAAGGGTGCGAAGAGCGCAGCAAAGAAAGCGTTGTTGCTTTCGATTCTCATTTCGCCCTGTGCTGTTAGAGCACGATACGCAAAGCAGCAGAATTGAAAGTGTCAGGAAAACTTGATGGTTCGTTGTTCCCGGCCCCCACATTGACAAGCAGCCTTGATTGGACTCAACGTCCCGTGACAAGCAGTGAGTTGACTCATAAAGAGCAGAGACGCTTGTTGGGCAGACATTCCTCGTCTCTGCAGGAGGCCGACACTGTCTACTCTAGAGACTTGTGCTTCGCCTCTGTCAAGGCCTTGGAGAGAGTGGTGATCGTGATCCGAGACGAGAAGTTCTTGCCGGACAGTGCGCGATCCGAATATTTTCCTGTAGGTAATCCATTGGGGCACGCCTTTCCCTGTGCTTCGGCCTGTTACTCCAGTGTTCAAAGGAGTTACGCGTGTTGACGCAGCGCCAACCTGTGTGGATGAATTAAAGAGGAACCATGTCATTTGACTAGTCCTGACGTGACTGAGGTGATTGAGATTGAGTCAGACGTTTCGGACTCAGCCTCTTCGTCAAGCGGAACGGAAGATTTGCTTTCAGAACCAGAGATCAGGGAGGACCCAGACTTGGGTTCAGTGCCCCTGCCTGCAATCAGCTCAGAAAGCGAGGACCAGCTCGTTGCTCGAAACTGGAAGAGTCGCATCGTGCATTGGTTCAACACTGTTTCATTTGAGCACCTGCCGGATCCAGAAGCAGCGCGGGCGCTCCTTGAAGGGGAGACCGCGGCATGTGGCCGGAAGTTTTCTGCAGTTTTCGGAGTTGTTAGGATCCCTGAGAAGTTCGTCTTCAAGTGCAAGCTTTGCTTTAAAGCTGTTCATCAGTCGCATCAGCAGTTCTTGAGAAAAAGGAACATAGAGCACCGGGCATTGTGCGCCGTTGACAATTAACACCTTATACGGCGCCAGAGCGTCGGCCATGTGACTGATTTGTTTTTTTGAGCTGACAACAAACACCATGTACGGCGTCAGAGAGTCGGTCATGTGATTGATTTTTTGTGGAGTTGACAACAGACACCATGCACGGTGTCAGAGAGTCGGTCATGTGACTGATTCTTTGTTTTCGGTTCTTTTGACAGTACGTGACCAAGGCGGGGAGTGGAGGTTGCCGCTGAGGTTGCAGCGTTTTGATCTTGGCTCTATGTGCGTATCATGTAGTTCCTTTCCTGTGGCCTCGAGTGAAATCAAATAATTCAAGCCATGTGTGGAAGGCCCCAGCGAACAAAATCGGACAATGTGTCCTGGAGATGTCTCCTTTGGACTTGCAAAAGAAGTACAATCAGAGGGGAAGCTGGGGGTAACTGTGTTTCATGAGAGTTTGAATGCTCTATTTTTTGGACCAAGTACTTCTTCCGATTACACTTAAACTTGCCAGGGCTTACGTGGCAAATCGACCCAGAAGGGTCGCCCACACCCTCGCAAACAAGCTTGCGCCTGAAAGTGTACTGTTGCATTTGCTGGAAACAAATTTCAATTTCCCTCCATGACGTTCAAACGACTTACGCGCGTGGGTCGGGCACTGTGAATTCTGTTAATGAACCTCTGCCTCCTGAAGTGATTGAAGCCAAAAAGACTGCTTTGGGGGGCGATGGTCGAGGGAATGCGGCCGTTGATGAAAGCTGCTGCCTCTAGCAGTGCGTCGAGTGAGTGATGGAAGGGGAAAAGATAAGAAGGAGCGAAAGCCAAAGCCGGCACTAAAGCCAGAGGAACCGCCCAAAAAGAAAACAGAAGAAGAAAAGCTCAGGGAGGAGAAAGAGAAGAAGGCCACGCGCAAACATAAAACCAACGCGCAACAACTTTAAAGACATAGTGACGTGAGTAATTGAAAACCTATTCGCAAAAAGGCGTTGCACTCCCTGGGAACAAAGTCATTCGTTCGCTGGGCTCCTATTTTCCTTCATTCGAAAAACACATGTGACCCTCTTCCATTCTTCCACGTCAAGTGGCTATCCAGCTTCCGATAGAGATGATGGCAATGAGGCTCGATGGCCATTCTTGGGTTTAACCATTTGAGTGCGTTTCTTGAAACACAAGGGGGCTTGGGTGCAGTGAGAGGGTTGGTTTTGAGTTGAGGGCCTTTCTGCGCAGGAGCATCGGAAAGAATGTGCATCTTTGCACAAGGAACTCAATGATATGGCTTCCAGGCCTTTAAGTTTACAAGTTAATGTTCACCAATGTTTTCCACATTGCAGGACGGAGAAAAGCATGGTTCATGGCGCGCCGAACACGACGACCCTGCAGGCCTGCGGCCCAAAACCGTTCAAACCCTGCGCGCTTCAAACTTATCTCCCTCGAGATTCGATCTTGTCACAGTCCCTTTGTTTGACTTCTTTGCTGAGTTCCTTCAAGAACCATCTGGTAGCCCCACCGCTCTTGTGCAGAAGTGGGACGACAAGATCGGGTCGGTGAAAGAGTTGGTGAAGACATTGAAGCGCCGTCCAATCCTCAGCGCAGTGTGCTCGAGCGCATTCAATCAAATCTGTCAGAAAAATAGCCTTTGTCGGACTGCCTCAGGAGGTGACAAAAGGAAGGACAAGGTTGACAAGAGTGCCAATTGCCCTAACAAATGGACTGATGAAGAGTGGAACACTTGGTGTGACCAGGTTCTTTGCAGGGTTATGTTAGTGACTTTGTCGCCGCTTTTGCTGTGGCAGGCGGCTGCTGATGAGGGCTTTTGATTCGAGCATTTTGCTCCGATGCTGAACATGTATACTTAGTGCTGAGCTGCAAGCGCCAGTGACAGCTTGCGTATGTGAAGTGTGGGTTGAAGCCTACACTCGATGGAGTGCGCAGCAGAGTTGAAAACGAAATCAACACATGCACGGATGTCTGGATGTCCGCCTTTTGTGACATTGCATCTCTTCCAGAACCACCAGCCCTTCCCCTGTCGGTGGCCATTGCTCGATGACGAAGCTTCTGTCGTGGAGGCGCAAAGAATGCCATTGAAGCGGCCCTCATGGTGGAAAAGCTTGTGGACACTTTGATGTCTGGAGAGGCGGAGCCGAGGGTGTCACAAATCATAGTTGATATGCGCGTTTGCGCCTAAAAGGCGGTCTTAGCGAGACGGCAGCCACCTTGTACTGCGCCGCTGCGTGCAAATATCTATATTGGTGAACCTCCCACCTTCATGAACTAAGCGCTCGCTGAGGCCTAGTTTTTTTGGATTTGGCCGAAAAGTTTGAGTCTACCGA